CTTTCTTAAAACATTGTGAGATTTTCTTGCGATTTTTTTTTAAGCTCATTAGTTATCATTAGTGTTCATGTACTTTAGGTGTGGCCCAAGACAATTCTTCTTCCAGTGTGGCCCAGGGAAGCCAAAATATTGGACACCCCTGAGCTGCATTGCAGAGCAGTTTTTCACAAGCCCAACCATATGCTACAACTACCTGGGGAGCCTTGAAAAAAATTCTCGTAACTCGTTCTTAACCCAGACACATCAAGTCTGAGCCTCTAAGAGTGGGACCCAGGTAGAGGTACTGGTTTCCAACTCCCTTCAGTTGATTCTAATGTCCAGTCAAGGCTGAGTACTGAATGGGAAGGAATGGACTCAGGATCACCCAGGTTAAGGGAGAAAAGCTTTGGAGAAGGCCATGATCAGAAGCTGATCATGTGAACGTCTTGCCTCTTCTGCCAACATTCCACGGGGACAACAAAAAGAAAAGAGAAGCTGGGCATGGTGGCGGGCACCTATGTTCCCAGCTACGCAAGAGGCTGAAGTGGGAGGATTGCAAAAGCCCAGGAGTTTGAGGCTGCAGTGAGCTATGATCACACCATTGTACTCTAGCCTGGGTGACAGAGTGAGATCTCGTCTCTATAAAAAATAGAAACAGGGGAAAAAGTTCCAGAAATTAAAAGACCCAGAACACTAATGGGGACTCACAGGATGTTCTCTGAACAGTACTTGAAAGTTACCTCAGTATTATCACTGCTGTTAGGGGCTGCCTCTATGGTAAAAGCAATGTTAAGAAGTGAAAAGGAGAAACATATCTAAATGTAGTGTATGTATTTGCTTGCTTACTAAGATTGGTTTTTCTTCTGTGGAAGAATGATTGTTTCATGACTATTTTCATGAATTTTCTTTCTGGTGGTGCACTCATTCTTTTTACACACATTTGAATTAAGATACTAAAAAGATGTGTAGTCAAATCATAATAGAAGCTTTGAATTGTTTTTCCTTTAGTGACCTTTCCATCTTCAGCACCCATTTCTGGACTGTGTGTTGGGGGTGGGAGTATGACAAAGATACCGTCCGGGGCAAGATGAATGTGGTCACTGTTTACTCAGCCTTGGAAGTAGGGCAGAAACATTGTAAATAAATGTCGTTAACCCTAACAAAAATGAAAATACTTCTTCCTACAGGATATTAATCAATTTCACCATAATTTCCTCTGAGTGATCACATCCTGTGTGTCTAAGAACCCTTGATTGCTGATGTTGAGAGGCATCTGTCAGTATCAAACAGTGGATTAACTAACAACTGTATAGGAGATATTTGAAAATTATGAATCAGAAATTTTATCTATATATTAGAAGGCAATATTGTTTGAAATCACATTGTAACAGATGTGAGATTACATCTAGTGGCATTTTGACCCCCACCCCACAAATTTCCCACTTACACACCTGTCATATGATTTTCTATTTGAAATCTCTTCTACTCATGGGTGAATGAACCACATCACTGGCTTCCCGGGAAAGCTCTTCCCACATTTATTCTTAGGTAAACATCTCTTTCTTGTGGCTTCTGGAGGGCTATTTGTTCTCCTGTTTCTAAGAGTCATTATTTTTAACCTAGAGTAAGAAGGGAAGGACATGAACCACACTAGAAATAAAGCCCCAGGACTTTGGTGAGACTACATGGGACACATCCTAAAATAGCCTAATGATTTACTGGTTCTTTTTCCAGAGAGCTGGGAGGCACTCCCATAGAGAGAAAGATGTTTCAAGGAAGTAATGTTAGTAAGTCGGAAAGTGAGTAGTTTGTGATGTGTGTAAATCTCAGTGTGAGACTGGGCAGTGATGACATTGTGATGTCACCTGATGGAGCTAAAACTAAAACAAAGAGGCAATGCAGAATATTAAACAGATAACAGTTCATAATGCAAGAGTTTGCCTAGTCTTCACTCAGAAATTCACAAAACAGTTCAGCTAAGAAACAAGTGATAATATGCTATTTTTGCACATAACTTTTTGCTGTTTTCGTCAAGCTATTTACATGGTATTTTGTGGTTCTAAACTATTGTCTGTTTTTAATCTTCTGGGTGGCTCTGTCTAGAATAATAGATTTGTTTCTAAATATTGGATGTAATCTTAATGAAAGAGTTTATTAAGCATACCATGTTATTTGTGACCTCCATCTCTCCTGTCCTTAATTTCCCTCTTGATCAATTATCTTAGTTAACTGAGTGTTGACTATAACTTTATAAAAATTTTAGTATTTTCAGAAGGTATTTATTAACATGGCTGTTGTAGCAAACAACAGAAACTTCAACTTCATGTAGACAGAATCTACCATTTATTATCTATTTTTGACAGTAAAAAAACTGATTTTAGTGAAAATTGAAAAATGCATTACAATGAAAATAAAATGCATTGTTTGTCATTCTGTTTTACTTTAATTTCGTTGGTTTGGCATCAGGTAGCCACAATAACATCTCCCTGTTTCAGACCTTACCGATCTCCCACACACAGTTTTGTTTTCACCTGCCATCTTCCCTCTTTTTTCCTCTTCCCTTTCCCTGTCATTTCTCTCTTCATCCCTTCCTTTCTCAGTTTAACACAGACCTTAAAGTCTGTGTTACCTTAGTTGCTGAGGATGTATTATAGTCTTTCTATTCTTACTTTTTCAGTAGAAGAAACATTTTTTGAAGTGCTCTGATAATATTGCTTATGCTGTTAGATAAATGGCTAATTATTTTCCAAACATTAGACACAGCAGTTGTAGTTGCACAACCTCGTATTAGCTTTAACTCGTTTTCCCCACTCCTAGTCCTGTTAGACTCAATCATACAGGAGACAACTATCTCCTGTGGTGCTACCAGTTAGAGGTCATTTCTACAAACAAGAGTCACCTTGTATTAGAGAATAAATATGTTGGCACAGAGTAATTCACATTTATCCTCACATTGTATACTGAATATAAGGTGACAGGAGAGGATGGAGGTTACATAATGTCCACCTGGACAATTGTTTGGGCCACAGCAAGACTCCTTTACAATTCTAATAGCAACCATTGCTAATCAATCCCTGCATTCTTTGTTCAGACCTTTTAGTCTTCCTCCTTTCAGTCTAGTTCTCCAGGAAGCTGTTACCAGTTAGTGGGAGTTGTCATTATTCTAGGTGTAGGCTACCCCGAAAAACATTCTCTGCATATCACTGTGGCAGTGTTCCTGACTGTAAGAACCACTTAGGGCACAGGAGTCCCCAGCCCCTAGGCTGTGGATGGGTACTGGCCCATGGTCTGGTAGGAACTGGGCTGCATAGCAGGAGGTGAGCGGTGGATCAGTGAGCATTACCACCTGAGTTTTGCCTCCTGTCAGAACAGTGGTGGCATTAGATTCTCATAGGAGTACAAATCCTGTTGTGAACTGCACTTGTGAGGGATCTAGGCTGTGTGTTCCCTAGGAGAATCTAATGCTGAATGTTCTGAGGTGGAACAGTTTATTCTAACCCTCACCACTGCCCATGGAAAAATCGTCTTCCATGAAACCAGTCCTTGGAGTTGAAACGTTTGGGGACCATTGACCTAGGATAATCAGGGCCTCACCTGGACCTGCTGAAGGAGAATCTCCAGAGGAGGGGCTTGAACATTTTCTTCCCTTCATTTGTGACTAAAGGTTTTGTTTCTCCTGAATAACATTTTGGAAAACAAAAGTATAAACAAACATCTTCCACATTCCTTAAACACAGTCTCTCCTACCCAGGAGACTTAGTGCAAATAATTTCACTTCTCAAATATTAGCCTTCCCGGGCACGGTAGCTTCTGCTGGTAATCCCAGCACTTTGGGAAGTCAAAACAAAAGGATCACCTGCAGCAAGGGTTCAAGACTAGCCAGGGTAACATAGCAAGACCCCCAGTGGTACAAATATTAGCCTTATCTCTGTAGGTGTTCTGAGTTTGCCCAGGAAGTTGCATTTAGGTCAACGTTATAGGAGGAGAAAAGAGCCAGTGATATAGAGAATGGTCACCATAAATTCATGAAAACTTGGTACCTAGTGACCAGCTTTCAAAATTAAACCCAAGTTCCACAGCCTTATCCAATCAATGCATTTATTTGCCATTGGAATTAAGAACAGATGCAATAGATTTGTCATATGCCAACTGAAGAGGGTGAAAATAAAGACAGCAAAAATACTGCATCTTACTCTCCCCCAAAGTAACTTATTTAAAATTATTTAACATAGGATTTCAATAGGAACCTAGCTATAATACAAAGAATTTTTGCTAACAAAAATGATTACTGTGAAGACCACTTCTTCTTATACAGTATAGAAGTACTATATAGTACATGAGTATTTTATTTATGTTTGACTTTGGCTATTCCTGATTTTCCAAAGTGCCAATTGAAGTTTTTTTAATTCACTACTGAAATAATCTGGTTTTCTAAATAATTTTATCATATTCCAATAAATGGAAACATAGGGTAGTTTCTTTAAATGCAAGGAATTATTGGTATGCTAATTCCATGTTCCACTGTCTGCATGCTTAATCGTCACCTTCCAGCTCCAATAAATTGTACCATAATTACTGAGGATGTATTATGGTCTTTCTATTCTTGATATCTCAGTAGAAGAAACATTTTTAAAAGTGCTCTGATAATATTGCTTATGCTGTTAGATAAATGGTTAATTATTTTCCAAACATTAGACACAGCAGTTGTAGTTGCACAACCTGGTATTAGCTTTAACTAGTTTTCCCCACTCGTAGTCCTGTTAGCTGTCTCCTGTATGATAGTCTATCTCTTCATGGTGCCATCAGTTGTAGGTCATTTCTGCAAACAAAAGCCACCTTGTATTAGAGAAGAACTATGCTGGCACAGATTAATTCATTATCCTCACATTGTGCACTGAGTATAAGATATTAAAGAACTGGTTAATGGAAAAATACTGGGAATGAGTGCACAGTTTATTTTCTCTGCTTTTGTAGAATGTTTTCAAGACAACTGATGATAAAATTATGTTCAAATGCTGTAGGTAGCCCTAATGGAGAACGCTGTGGAAGGACTTGTTTGGAAGAGAGAGACAATCAGTGGTTGGGGGTCACACTTTCCAGACAGCCAGGGGAAAATGGATCCATCGTGGTAGGTATTGGAACTGATCTACCAATCCATCGTGAAACCGGCTACCCTGGGTGCAGCTTTCACGTCATTTGGTCTACTTTTATTTTATTCAGACTTGTGGGCATAGATGGAAAAATATATTTTACATAAAGAATGAAAATAAGCTCCCCACTGGTGGTTGCTATGGAATACCCCCTGATTTACGAGCAGAAATGAGTAAAAGAATAGCTCCGTGTTATCAAGGTAAGGCATGATTTTGATATTAACTAGCTCAAAATAAGTAAGTGAATGCTTTTTAGTGTTTTTATGTTCAAGTTTAGATATTCAGAGGAGAGGGAGATATTCTAAGTAATTATGTTCTTTTTAACTAACCAGTTTCTTCCTGTTCTTTCCTTACTCAATTGCAATAACATTCGTTTTCATAAATGCACTTTGTGCTATAAAAATTTTACAATTTGAATAACTCTGCAATCTAACTGGGAATTACTCACTTTTGCATTAAATTTACTTTCAATTTGGTATGAGTCTAGTGCCCAGCAAATACAGGATACTTAAAATTGTGAAATTATATTGGAAGTCTGATTAAAAAGAAAAAGACCTTAGGTTTCCTGTTTTACCTTTAGCTTCCAGGGATAATCGGAAAGAATATAGTAATCAGTGTAAGCAAATCCTTCCTTCCTACTCACTATCTTTCTTCTGATTCACATGTATTCCTTCAAGCAGCAAGAGATTGGTGCCTTGAGTTTGAAACATTTTTCTCATGTTAATTCTATGCTATAGGTAGCATCGGCAAGTATGGAGCTAGGACATAAATAACAGAAGTGAGCAGAGTTGGGGTGAATGTCAACAGAGCATGTCAAGTGATATCTGCAGCAAAACTAAAATCCAACAATGTGTCTTTAGAAAGCTAAGAAACATATGAATGCCAATTTCTAATTTCTAACCACCCTCACCCTCAAATCCCCCAGCATCCAATGAAAAGTTTGATTAGTTGACAAAACTTTGGCCAAGAATTTGAGTTCAATTCTTGATAATATTTGGATATTTCTTCCCTGGAATCTGAGATCACAGAGCAGCTTATATTACATATATTGCTATTTTGCCTTTGGATACCCAAAGGATTAAAAAAGTGATTATTGAATTCTCAGTCGCAGTAAAACTCAGTCTAGTTTTCTGTATGTTTTTGATCTTATTTTTCCTAATAGTTTATGGTTTATCTTTAAAATATTTTCAGAGTAGAGTTTTCAGTTTTTCTCAGATCTACCTAGCCACATACAATAAAAAGCTCAAGATGTCATAAACCTAACACATCTACAATTGTAAAATACAGGACCAGGTAAAATATATATATATTTTAAAGGAATGAAAATTCTTGACTAGATAGATCAGGAATTTTCTGACTGGAAATTGTAATTATAAATAATTTAGCAATTAAGTTCTCTGCTTAGCAAAGCCAAAAGGAAGCTGTTGTTCCAATTCTTATTTTCATAGACGTTTACTTGTGTCAGTTTTTTTGAAAGAAGCAAAGCTTTGCCCCCTTAGTGAGTTCCAAAAGCATTCATTCATGAGGCTTTTTAATAAGAGACCTTCATGTTCATGCAGACCTTGATTCAGCCTATATTTTCAGTTGGGCAAAATCTAAGAAAGGATATTCTCTTCAGTAAATGGTGTTGGCAATAGCAAAGACAATGGAATCAACCTAAATTCCCATCAGTGGCAGATTGGATAAAGAAAATGTGATGCATACACCCCATGGAATACTGCACAGCCATAAAAAAGGACTAGATTGTGTCCTTTCTGCAACTTAGATGGAGCTGGAGGCCAATAACCTAAGCAAACTAACACAGAAAACCAAATACCACATGTTTTCACTTATAAGTGGGATCTAAACATTGAGTACATATGGATACAAAGAAGGGAACCACAAGCCCTGGGGCCTACCTGATGGTAGAGGGTGGGAGGGGGGAGAGGATCAAAAAACTACCTATCGGGTACTGTGCTTATTACCTGAATGGGGAAATAATCTGTACACCAAACCGCAGCAACTTGTAATTTATGCAACAAACTTGCACATGAACCTTGAACCTGAAAGTTTTTTAAAAAATACTGTTGGGAGAATTGGCTAGCTGCATGCCAAAGAATGAAATTTAACCCTTAGCAAATATACCAAAGTGAACAGGATTAAAGACTTAAACATAAGACCTGAAACCATAGAACGCCTAGTGAAAAACACAAGGGAAAAGCTACTTGCCATTAGCCTAGACAATAAGTTTTTGGAAATTACACCGAAAGCTCAAACAACAAAAGCAAAAATAAACAAATAGGATTACATTAGAAAGCTCTTGCATAGCAAAGGAAATTATCAACAGAGTGAAGAGACAGTCTCCAGAATGGGTAATAGTATTTGCAGGTGTCTGATAAAGAGTTAAGGAACTCACCAACTCAATAGCAAAGAAAAAAAAAAAAACCTGATTGAAAAATAGTCAATGGATGGCCCAAATGGCTTTCTTTCCAAAGATGGCATCGAAATGGCCAATAGGTAGATGAAAAGCTACTTAACATCACCAATTATCAAAGAAGTTCAAATTACAAACCACAGTGAAGTATCACTTAACACCTAATAGAATTGTCATTATCAAAAATGCAAGTCATAACAAGTGTTGGCGAGGATGTGAAGGAAAGGGAACCCTTGTAGACTGTTGGCAGGAATGGAGATTAGTACAGCCATTATAGAAAACAATAGAGAAGTTACTCAAAAAATTAAAAATAAAACTACCATGTGATCCAGCAATCCCTCTTCTGGGTTTATGTATATCCAAATGAATGAAATCAGTACCGCATAAAGAGATCTGTGCTTTCATGTTCATTGCAGCAGCATTCACAATAGCCAAGTTATGGAAACAACCTTGTGTCCATTGACAGATAAATGGATAAGGAATTGTGTGTGAGGTGTATACATACACACATATATACATAAATATATACAATGGAGTATTATTCAGCCTTTAAAATCCTGTCTTTTATGACAACATAGGTGACCCTGAAGGACATTATTTGAATTTAAATAAACTAGACATAGAAAGACAAATGCTGTATAATCTCTTATCTGTGGAATCTTAAAAAGTCAAATACATAGAGTAGACTGGGGGTAGAGAGAGGGTTAGGTTTGGAGAGATGTTGGTGAAAGTGAACAAGGCCGCATTTGTGTAGGATGAATAAGCCTAGATATCTAATGTACAGCATGAGGACTAGAGTTAATTATTGTATTGTTCACTGGAAATTTGCCAAGAGAGTAGATTTCACTCTAAATACACAAAAAAAGATGACTGTGAGGACGCATGCATGTTAATTTAAGTGTAGTAACCGTTTCACTATGTATATGTATATCAAACATTGTACACGTTAACTATATATAGTAGAAAGAAAACATGGACACAAAATCACAAATCCTACGTCTGTCTTACTCATTTTACAAAATTTTTTTGAGTGTATGCTGTGTGTGCTTCCTATGAAGAAGAGGCAAAGGGAGATATTTGTATTGCCATTTCATAGGGTTATATTGAATATTAATATGGAAAGGATTTATTATCTTAAATTATATCAAGATTAAAGTTTTTCTTTTTTAAAAAAGCATAAACTATAAACCTTAAAGGAAGTTTTTATAAGGATTTATTTAAAAAAACAAATTGTGGAGATTATATCTTTAAGATAAACTTCTGAGTTGTTTTAATATTTCATTTTAGATCATGTGAAAAAATTTGGAGAACATTTTGCATCATGTCAAGCTGGAATATCTAGTTTTTACACAAAGGTAATAGCTTAAAAAACAGCTGCTATAAATGTTTACATATAGAATCTTCTGATGGTTTAGAAGACTGATTTTACGTTTTAAAGTAAAAATTGTGCAACATCTGCATCATGTCTCTTAAATTTGAGTATTACAACTTAATTTTTGCCACTCAGTATTCCATTATTCAATAAAATATCAACATTTAGATGGCTATACTACATAAGACAAACTAAATCTATACTGAAAAATATTTCTTTCAAGAATTTAATGAAGATAAAAAATAGGTACAGTTAATTGCCTTGTTAACTTAGGTATTAAAAATACCAACCCAAGTATGTTGTTTTAAATTTCTAGTTGAAGGGCTATATATCAGTCTATATTTTTCATTAAAATCATGGAAATTGGGAAATTTAAGAACTTAATATCCCCTTAAATTAGATAGACAATATTCCCAAGATTAATTACTCTCCTTCTAACACTCTAGGATATCTGTGAAAGGGCACAGTTGTACTCAACCCCAAATCTCAGTTTTTCTTAAAAACCCTCTATGAATTCAGGAGTGTTTTCTGATTCCATGAAGATTAGGCCATATTAAGTCTGGGGTTAACAATGCCTGTAAATGTTAACAGTCATATTAAAATGCTTAAAAAGAAAATGCTTTCTTCAGTTTAAGTTGACCTTCTTTTTGAAGTTTAGGGTTATTACGGAAATGTAGAAATATGCTAAATAGATTTAATTGCTGAAACTTTTCATACTGTACCAGACAAGGGCATGTTCCTTCCAATCTTCTGTTCCTTCTCCTAAATTCCTATATATCACAAAAAAGTCCACATTCCATTGGACTTTTTTTTTTCCCTAAGCTAATATTATTAGGAAAATTAGTCAGTAGTTCTTTGCAAATTGAAATAAATTAAGGCCACTTTTTATTCTTTGGCAACACATGATTATCTTCATAATGAGCCCTGATGAATTAACCACATATGATTTTCTTTAGTAGGAACCACATTGCCTTTCTCCCAAAAGCTTACTCTAGTGTTTGGTGCTTCTCCCTTCAACTTTTGAAATCCACTGATAAATATGTTAAATGACAGTTTCAGAGTTTCTTCTCTGAGATTCTGCTTTTTGGTAGAAATCCATTAGCCAACTTATCTGGCTTTTTCTTTTTTTCTTTTTTTTCTGATATGTTTTAACTTCACAATGTTCCTACTTCAGAAATCTATTATTATGAAAATATGTTCTCTTCACTGTCTATTATGTATCTGGAGGAGGTTTAGGGTGGTAAGATTGAACTTTAATTAAAGGTTTTTGTTTTTTTTTTTTTCAGGATTTAATTGTGATGGGAGCCCCAGGATCATCTTATTGGACTGGCTCTCTTTTTGTCTACAATATAACTACAAATGAATACAAGGCTTTTTTAGATGAACAAAATCAAGTAAAATTTGGAAGTTATTTAGGTACTATAAAAGTTGACAAACTCAAATTATCTCTGTCTTACAAATACTAGTACTATAATTATAAATAAGGAAAATTGTATTTTCCAAAGATCTAAGTGGCCAGTAATTACAGTAATAGGCAGTTCAGAAACTGTCTCTTAAGGATAGGATTTATGAAACTTTAGTTAGCTTAATATTTTACATTTATACATGTGACTAAAGTCATCAATATATAATTCTTAGTAGAACTCATAGTTTACTCTTTGCAGTTAGGAAACATTAGTTTTTATCTTTATGTAGTCAACTGATTACACAGGTAGCTTCTGTTGAGTGCTTCCCATATCCCAGGAACTTTTTGTGAGAACTTTACATGAATTAACTCATTTAAACATCTGTATAAGTAAGTACAGTTTCTTAAAAGACCAACTGAAGGCCAGTTGTACTGTCCACCGCATTCTGGATAAGGGGCTCCATGAAGCATATGGGTCTAAAAATGGCTCATTGACCTTCACCTCATAAGTTCTTAAAATATTTCCCAGTTTAGCTATTTTTGTCATCTTTCTGCTCACTATCATCTCATAAGTCAATAGGATACTTTATCATCTGTATTTCAACAGAAATGCAAAGTTTTCTGACATTAATGTCCATTACAACAAAATAAGTGCTTTTCCTATAGGTTTTCAGAAAATCCAGGTTTGTTTAAACTGTTTATGTGTCAAATGTGAGCATCTTATACTTAGAAACATAAAACAAGCACTACTTCCATACAAACAGAAGAAATTTCAAGTAGAATTTGCTACAATTCAAGTTTTCTTATTTATGATTGAAGGATACTTTGAAATAGTTTAACAAATATAACTTGATGTACCTTTTATCACATAAAATAAAAATATTTTACCTTTTATCATCAAAAAGCCATCACAAAAGAAAGATTTGGTGGCAAAAAGTTGAACTTTAGCAGGATTTTTAAAGTTTAAAATATTCATTTTCCAGTTGAGACATTACATTTAATATACTCTAAAATATGTCTGTTGTAATCCTAGAAACTGATTATACTGCACAGAGACTAACCAGATGTAAAGATGCTATTTTCAGTTTCTAACACTTGGAAATACAAGCCATATGACTACAGTTTTGTGACACATGTCAAAATTGCATAAAACATAATAAATGACTAATTTTGAGTTACCACTATGCTAAATATTAAAACTGCTTAATGTAGTCACTTTGAATTCAGCATAATTTAATTTTATGAATAGATTTATGATCTGTTTTACCCATATTCCCATATGATGTGCTTCACTCAGGACTCTCATACTTTCTCCCTTTTCTTAAAGGATATTCAGTTGGAGCTGGTCATTTTCTGAGTCAGGATACTACTGAAGTAGTTGGAGGAGCTCCTCAACATGAGCAGATTGGTAAAGTAAGGATTACATTTTTATATTTATTTCTTCACAAACGTTCAAATACATTGCGTGAATAAGATATTGAAGGAGAAACTGCAAACATTGTAAGGAAAGGAAGATTAGAAATGATAACCAGGTTATTACATTTAGTGGGATTGGTAAAATATGTTATGGTTTTAGAATAAATTTAGCAAAAAGCTTTCTGAAAAATTGCAAAAGCCAAATGAGACTTTGTTTCCTATAAGGAAATTCTAAAACAGAACTACCTAAAAATGTCCAGGGAGTATATGGTGAAGAGTTTCACAGCTGAGAAGAAATTGAGGCAGTGCATGTTTTGTGGTAAGACTTAGAAAGAAGGAAATATTTCTGGTTTTAGTTTTTTCTGGGTTGCTAGGTGAACACTGGTCACTCAACTTTTCTGAGGCTTACTTTTGAAAACTTAAGCAGACTTTTCCTGTACCCCCTCTATAGGATCAATAAGATAATTCCTGAGAAAATACTTTTGCAAGTAAGGCATATTAATGTAACAGTGGATCCCTAACCCTTTTGTGCCACTTTTAAAAGGATTTCTTTTTTATATTTGAGCAATTAACTACAAGTCATAAAAATTCATGTTTTGATCAAACAGAAATGAGTGGGTTTTTAAAAAAAAATATGGTATTCATAAAAACTTCTCTAATTCTTTCCCCAATTACAGGCATATATATTCAGCATTGAAGCAAAAGAACTAAGTATCTTACATGAAATGAAAGGTAAAAAGGTAATATGTCTCTACCTTTAGTATCTCTGAGGGCTTTTGCGAGTAGCCCTGCTTTTTTCTCAGTGAGTGGATCTGGTTTGTTTTGAGACAGCTTGGCTCGTACTTTGGAGCTTCTGTCTGTGCTGTGGACCTCAACTCAGATGGCTTCTCAGATCTGCTGGTGGGAGCGCCCATGCAGAGCACTATCAGAGAGGAAGGAAGAGTGTTTGTGTACATCAACTCTGGCTCGGTATGTCCAAGTGCCCCAATGGAAGCCATTTATGGAATTATAATCAAAACTAAAATTGGTCTTATTCTAGAGATCTGAGATTATTTTTAGCTTTCTTTTACTGACAAATGTTAAAATTCTAATACTGTACTGATGCTCTAAAAATGAAATGGAATATGATGATGAATGGGGAAGTGTCTCATTTTGATTTTCCAGAAGTATGAAATAGGTTGTTAGGGAGTTTTTCTATTCACAGCTTATATGTGCTCCCTCTGGCAGTTGAAATTGCTTTCAGTTTTGATACTAATCTAATTTGAAAGAATAATTTTTATACCTCCTTCAAAAGGTGGATCTCTTAAGAGTTCTAGTTAAGGTCCTTATGTAAATTAAATTATACAATAGTACTAGGATTAGAAGATGAAGATTTAAATAGTTTTTAATTTCTTGGTTTGGAAACAATTACAAACAAGTTGTGTGATTAAAATGTTAATTTTCATAATTCATAATAGATTATACTCTTTATAAGAGTATAAAATTGGCACAGTTTATTCCAAAGTGAGTATATTAATTGTATAAATAGCTAAGTACTGACTATGATTCAATTTTAAATTATTAGTGATAATTTGCGGTAGAAACTGACCACTTGATAATTCAGCTTAAAGACATCTGCTGGCCTTATCTTGCCAGTGTAGCTACTTGACCTTAAAACAAAAAATTGGTAGGGTCTTAATGAGATCTTCTTGGCCTGTTCCTTTGATTTGAAAACAAGAGTGGGCTTGTGAGAAAACTGGTTCATTTCTATGGCACAGCATTTTAAAGTGAGGTTCAGCAAAGTGAACTCTGTTTCAAGTGTTTGTATATATGATTAGTAAATGGTTTCAGAGCATTTAGCAAGTTCTTATATTAAGCATCAGACTAAACGTTACAATTTAAGAAAGAAAACATCTAGTCTTATAAATGGATGATTATAGAACAGGGAAGTTATTTATGCTGTGGTATCTCCTAGTCTGTATTTAACCTACATTTATTAATAAAAGCAAATTATCTACACAGTGATCATTAGAAGCTCATTAATAGTGATATCAGATAATATTCTTCCATAGATTTCACATTTCTACTTCCAAAACTAGTAGTCTTTGTACTTGCTACATCTTCATGCTGCAAATTTGTCTTATATTCCTCTTTACAACCAAACATCCACATGTATACCTAAAGTAAAGCAATGTAGAATCATTTTTCCCCCACTGAAATCTTAATCTCATTATGAAAAAAACAGATAAACCCTACTACTCAGTTTTCTACCCTCTTGTTCTTCTCTCATGCCTACCCCAAGGTGCTACTTTTATTAAACACTGGGATTAATTTAGTAATTGATTTCAGCTTTTAAATCCTCTGATATAGATTAGTCTTCCTTTGTTCCCTCTCATTCCTGTCTAACCTCTCATTTCTCAGCTCTCTGAAATGGCACTCACCACTAAGTGGCATTTATTTACATTGATTCGATTTGATATTGTCTGTTATTCTACTGTAGTATAGATGCCACCTGGAGAGAAATTGTCTGCCTTGTTTACCACAGTTTCCTCAGGGCTTGGAAGAGCCCTGGACAAGTAGGTGAAATTTTCTTTTGAATGAACTCGAGGAAGAATGGTACTTGAGTGACTCTGGCTTCTACCTACTTGTAGTAAAATAGCTCTCTGGGGTTCCCAGTGAACTCTTAGTCACCACTCTCAGTGACTAGAGAATACTTGAAGAAGAGGGATCACCACTTCTTATTGAAACTTTCCTTCCAGAATTTCAGAGCCATTGGGTTTTCTTAAGCCTATATCTTGTCTCTTCTCCCTGGAGCCTCTTTATCCTTCTGCTCTTTAATTTAGACATTTGCTCAGTAGCCAAGCTGCTTTAACCCTGACTCCCTTGTTACAATCATTCACTGCTTCGGTGTCAGTGATTATATTTATAGAGATGATTCCCAGTCATCATATTTCATTTAAAATAAGTGACATTTAGTGAGTATCTGAAATGTAACCAGGACTTATAAAAAGAGCTAATAATTCTAGTGCTGACCCCAGGACTTCAGGATCTAGTGAAGACACCAATGGGAGGAAGCAATTGACTGCAGCATGGTGTGTGGCACATTATAAGTACATACAAAGTAGAAGAAGTGATTCCCTGTGGGTCAAGAAGGTTTCACAGAGGAAGTAGTATTTGAGAAAGACAAAAATCGGAATTTTTCAATTGGAAAATTCGCAAGTAAAAACACTTGACAAGGAAAGAACATGTGTGTGCCTAGGGAATGCCAAATAGTTTTGAAAGACATGGCCTTTTTTTTTTTTTTTTTTTTTTAAATACAAAGGACTGACATGATCGAAGTTTGCAAAGAGAACTGGTAGCTGTTATTGTGACAGCTAATTATTACATTATTGAATGTCTTATTGTAGTAACTCATCTTCCTCCTTCCCAGTTATCAGTTGATTGATCTATGCTCCATTGCTGCTGGTTCCAAAGGCCTGCTTCAATTATGTTACTCCTCAACTCAGAAACCTTCAGTGTTTCCTATTGTCCCCTAAATTAAGGGTAAATTTTTCTCAACAATCAAGATGCTACACAATAAGACTGCAATCTGACATTTTTGTCTCATACATTATACATACCATTCATTAGAGCCAAATTCTTTGGAATTTGTTTTGCTGCTAGTTTTCTCTGTTTATCAAAATTACCCTTATCCTTCAATAGCCACCTGGCATGCCACTTCCTTTATGAAATCTCTTCTGTTATAATTAGATATTCTTTTTTATTTGCTCTTGATATTGTAAAGCAGTTTCTACTTCTTAGTCATTTGTCTGCTTGTGCTAAGCCCGCCCTGTAACTCTAGGCTTCTTGAGGAAAGGGAGTATTTACACACACTGCCTTGCCCCTTTCACCTTTCACTCTTTGCACAGTGTGTTGTCTTTAGTAGAAGCTCAATAAATATTTGCTAAATTGAATTATCAAAATGATTTATTGGATTTTCAAAGCTAGAGATCACGAGTTTGACAATGTTTTATGTCCTCTGAGCTCTAATCATACTATTATGTGTTGACAGACTCAATAAATATTTATTGAATTGAACTGAGATGTGTGTACTAAAGCTCAGTCTGTGGTTTGTCCAACTTGTTTGACGCATTAGAAAAAATCCATATCCAATTACAACAGTAAATCATGTATAAAGTTGTCGGAGAGTATTATAATGACACCTTTTCTCTCCCTTTCTATCTAGGGAGCAGTAATGAATGCAATGGAAACAAACCTCGTTGGAAGTGACAAATACGCTGCAAGATTTGGAGAATCTATAGCAAATCTTGGCGACATTGACAATGATGGCTTTGAAGGTAATTGTCAATTTGGTGTTTGATTTCTGCTTTCAAAATGGTTTACGAAAAAAATACGATTAAAGTTTTGTGTTGTTTGCCTTCCTATAGAAAAATGAGCCAGAATGGCATGCTGACTTTTTTCTTTTCTTTAGTGTTACTTATGACTTCTCCTCAATTGTCACCCATTGGTCTTTACCACTGTTAATAACAGATGATATTCAAAATACCTTATTCCAGTGATTCTAAGGTACCATTGATTAGAAACTGCATTATTTATGTGTCCCTAAAAAATGCTGCCTATTAAGCTGTGATACCCACCATTTTTCTTTGTTAAGAAAGATCCTGATTTCAGAAATAATAAAATATGGGTAGTAAGTGTGTACCATAGACTCATTGGACCATGGTATTTAGCTATCAGTACAATAAAGACACTGACCAAACCCAACACAGTCTGGCTGCTGAGCTGGAACAGGGTTATGGAAGCCCCTTGCTCTACCAGGCATTCCCCATAGCTACGTTGTGGGAGAATCTGGGGAATTCCAGAAGAGATTCTGAGAGACCACTGGGAAGCCTGGGGACAGTGGCTGTTTACCCACTGATATTGAAGTCTTTCACTAATTGGCTAGATGATAGTGTGGTGACTGCATCTTGCCATGGATGCCAGTCCTGTTGTTGCAATCCCTGCATCTACCAGCATTTCTTGTTAACCTTTGCTTTTATCAGTCTAGTTCTAAGTGGTAAGTAACTGAGTCTGCTAAAACTGTGAATGATGATTCAGAAAATGATGAATAGGTGTAAGAGGAGAGTGTTCAATTTCCTGGAGTTCAGCTCATAAGTATTTGATACTTATTTTCAGATTCATATTGTCTTCTTGATAAGGCCATTGACAATTAGTGTGTGATAATATTAGGCTAAAGCTTTCTCAGATGCTAAAGATAAGTGACTGAGTACTATACATTCTCACTTCCTTAATGTCTTCTTGTACCTAGATGCTGCAATCTACTTTAAATATATAAAATGAATTATTTTACAGAAAAAGTCAGTTATTGAATATATGCTTTCAGTGAGACTTAAACGTAAAATAGTGTAATGTAGTATACAGTATTACAGTTCTGGATTTTTTGTTTACCGTTTTAAAACTGAAAGGAAAGAAAAAAAATATATGTATATACTTTCGGTTATTGTGATTACACATAACACATGACATTTTTTTTTTAAAACATGTATGGAGGGGAGCCTCTCTGTACCCCACCCATCACTAGCTTCCCTGTCCTTCTTTCCCCACTGGGACCCCAGGTTGGGCACTGACTCATTTTCACAAATACCTTGTCCCTGAAAGGGGTGAAGGATGGTGGTGTAGCTGTTTTAATTGGAACTGTAAGAGGGATCATGTCCTATTTTATGCCCTTCCTCAAAAGGAGTCAGGACACCTGGTTTGCACTTCTGTAGCGGCCATCACTCTGCACCGTGCACTAAACTGCTGCCGTCACTGATCACATTGAGTTCACATCTCTTGAGAGTTTTTATAAATTCAGATCAGCACTGCTCCTCTGCAGCCACTCAGTGTCATAGAAAAGCATTCACTGCTAACTGATCTCTCCATGCAGAAGTGTGTAGTTTTAATGAACAGTAATGAGAAACTGTTATTATATTTTTTAAAAGACTGATTTTTTTTAAAACAAAAGAAAATTTTATTATGCTTTATGTTGCATCTCGTAAGCAGCAACTCTGTGATATTTATTGAACATTTATTTTGGGTCAGATGTACCATACCAGGTACAGAATATGTACCATAATAAATGAGATAATGGTGGCATCCTTTTTTAGAGTTCTGCAATCAAGTGGAAAATAAAATTAATGCTTGAAAACATAAGCCTTATTCAATGGCAAATTTAAGGATTCTACCTAATAAAAACCTAGAGGTAAAACCATGTTTATGCATTTTGATACGTCACATGTGTTGTATGAGACAATCCCAATTCTTTCTTTTAAAAATGAAATATCAATGTTTAGTAAAATACTTGGTTTATGATTTCTGTCTTGTTTTAACTGGCACATTTAAGGAAGGCCATTCACTATTTTTACTCTTTGGAATGTGAAAAATATGTGAATGCATACATGAGAAATTATTTTTGTGGCATCAAAATGTCAATGACAAGTTTGAATTATTGTTTTAGTCAGAGCTGTAAAACTATCTTGAGCAACAGGCAAATTCCTTATCAAAATGTGGAAGACAGTGTGGCAATTCCTCCAGGATCTAGAAATAGAAATTCCATTTGACCCAGCAATCCCATTATTGGGTATATACCCGAAGGATTATAAATCGTTCTATTATAAAGACACATGCACATGTACGTTCATTTTGGCACTGTTAACAATAGCAAAGACCTGGAACCAACCCAAATGCCCATCAGTGATAGACTGGACAAAAAAAAATGTGGCAAATATACACCATGGAATACTATGCAGCCATAAAAAAGGATGAGCTTGTGTCCTTTGTAGGGACATGGATGAATCTGGAAACCATAATTCTCAGCAAACTGACACAAGAACAGACAATTAAACACCACATGTTATCACTCATAGGCAGGTGTTGAACAATGAGAACACATGGACACAGGAAGGAGCATCACACACTGGGGTCTGTTGGGGGGGGGTCTAGGAGAGGGACAGTGGGGGGCGGGGAGGATGAGGAGGGATAACATGGGGAGAAATGCCAGATATAGGTGACGGGGTGGAGGCAACAAACCAAATTGCCATGTATATACCTATGCAACAATCCTGCATGATTGGCACATGTACTCCAGAACCTAAAGTACAATTTAAAAAAATTACTCTAGCACCTGGAAAAAGCTTGAGTAATTTCCAGTGGTGTGAAGGACAGACGGACAGAGAGTGTTCTGTCCATGAAACTTAGAGGACTTTGGAGGGGACTTTCAGGGGACAGTGCAGTCTTTCAGTTCCTATATAAAAACACTGGGCTTCACACAGTTCTTGTTTCACTGAGAGCCCTCAGCACTCCACTCCTAAAGGTAATACCTTTGTATTTGGAAGGTTATTATTCAAATGATTTTAAAATACATTCCTGTGTATTTTTGTGCTGTTTATAATGTCATTTATAATTTACCTCATATTTATTTTTAGTGGCTACATTAATACTTCAGTGAATGCTTATAATGCCATGTATCTTCTACTTGGTCCAGTTTATATTTTATCTTCTGTTTTGCCCATGAATAGGCGTTTTCTATATTTTAGATATTAGCATGACCATTGCTGATGTGGAAGCAGGGTCAGGGTGTCCTAGTTTTTCGCTGAGGTCTTTAATTCCTTTCCACCATGTCTGCCTGGATGAAACAGCAGGAATTTACAAGTTGGTTTTTTTTTTTAATGTATTTATTATTTTGCTACATCTCTCATTTTATTTTTATTGGGTGGATGGGTAAAGATACTTTGTGTTCATGGCAAGAAGGGTAGGATTATGTAGAAAGAGAAGGAAAACACTACCTATTCTTTTATCTTCCATCTCTAGTATTGGATGCAAATCACGCTTAATGTCTTTTTATTATGCAAATTTTTGTGGTACTTTGCATAGCAACCTTAAGTTATCTTGGCATTTGTCATATCATTTTTCAATTTTTTCAAATGGAAAAAAAAATTTTCAAATGGAAGAAGATGACCAATTGATTTGGCAAAAGTTTCATGTAAAACTCATCAAAAGCATGAAAAACATTGGTCAGACAGACTAGTATAACTGACATGACTGAAAGAAAATAGCATTTTTGATTTCATATGTAAAATAGGCTTGACAAGACCACTATTTATTGGTTCACGTTGAGCCTTATTATCTGATTTTTAGACTATATGTTTGAATATTTTTAGAGCAGAACCATAATAAGTTCTACAATTGTAAATTACAAGCTGTACTACATGTGCACCTGAAATAGTGACATATTATCAAATCATTAAGTGAGTACTTTTTAAAATTTGTGTTAATTTATAGGGTACAAGTGTAATTTTGTTATATCAATGACATAGTGATCAAGTCAGAGTTTGCAGGTACCCATTACCCAAATAACATGTTTTATCCATTAGGTAATTTCTCATCATCTACCCCCCACAACACTTCCCCTTTCTGAATCTCCATTGCCTACCATTCTACTTTCTATGTCCACGTGAACACACTTTTAAAGCATTGACTTATGAGTAAGAGCATAGGACATCTTACTTTCTGTGCCTGGCTTGTTTCACTTAAGATAATGACCCCCCGAATTCCATCCATGTTGCTGTAGAATACATCATTTCTTTTTTTTTTTTTAATGACCGAATGGCATTCTCTCTCCATCTCTCTCTCACTCTCTCTCTCCATCTCTCTCTCTCTCTCTCTCTCTCTCTCTGTGTGTGTGTGTGTGTGTGTGTGTGTGTGTGAGAGAGAGAGAGAGAGAGAGAGACAGACAGAGACAGAACCTTATTGACACAGAACAGGAATAGGTATTAGGAAGGGAAATTTGGGGGCATGACTTCTGTTGCTAATGAGCTTATAGAGCATGGTGATAGTCCAGGCTCTGGGGCCAGGCTGCAGGATTTAAATCTCAGCTGCACAACACCCTGGCTCTGTCACCCTGAGCAGGTTATACTCTGTGCCTCAGTTTCATCATCCGTAAAGTTGGAGTCAAAGAGCATTTATTTAATATGGTGGTTGTGAGAGTTACTTGGGTAAATGTGCACAAAACCCATATCACAGTGCCTATATTGTAAACATTATGTAAGGATTGGCTGACATTAATACTAATAATTATGATTTATACTAATAAAATGAAATAAAATGTTCAGATGAAAAGTTAAAGCAGTCGTTAAATATCTGTGTTCTGTATATTGTGTCCCAAATTAAGTTGTGTAAGCATGGAAAACATCATTGTATATACTTCAAAGTGTAGTTTTCTTATTTGTATAGTGATAGCTAGAACTGTATTATATAACAGATCAAATGTAATCCAGGAAGTAAGAATTTGGACCTGTATATGAGATAGCCAAAGATTGAATATACCCAAGTGTCCCCTGTATGGAAAAAAATTTATCTGGGCTTTTAAAATATTTTGGCTGAAAAGCTCATCTGTATTTTTTTCTAAATATTTGCCGTAATTTAGATCGCTCTTGCTAAGAAGAGATACTATAAAAATTTCTGTACATCAACTACTTCATTACGCAGGCTTGCTATTTTAGTCATGTGTTATCATCAAGAATCAATATATAGCCAATTCTAAAGATTTAACCACAGTGGTGGAAGTATAAACCCAGCCCAGATTAAAGAAATTGCTGTCTTCTTTTCAGTGGCTATACTTTTCCCCACTCCTTCTTCTCACATCCCTCTTCTCCTCCTCCTGTCTTTCTCTTCTTCCCATTCCTGCTCCTCTGTTCCTGTATGTATTTATCCTGCACAAATCTGACTCCAGTTATTCCAAACCAATTGCCATTCTTCACGTGTGCCATGCTGCCTGTTGCTTCCCTGCCCTCGCACAGGCTTTTCCCTGTCTCTAAGTTGCATTTCCCATTTCCTTCACCTGGCTATGACCTATGGATACTTTAATCTTATCTGGGGCATCATCTTCTATGAGAAGCCTTCCCTAATTTCCATCACTTCCTCCTCACATCCTGTGTTACTGTTCTATTCTTGCTTGTCATTCCTCCCTACTAGACAATGAGTTTCTTTTTATGGTACTGCCCTGTTTTGCCAGCTTCTGACAAATGCCTAGAATACAGTAGGTGCTCACTAGCTGTCCAATTAATGAATAAATGAATGGGCATATTTGTATATGAAAGTTGGAAAAACTTTGTACAAGTCAAAAAAGGCTGGCCTTAGTATGTCTAAACAAAGTAAATATAGGTGTCTACTGTTTATTTTTAATTGAAAATAGAAAAGCTTTGCATTTGTACTATTTTACAGTGTTTACCATAGAGCTGTACATCAAAGATATTTTTACTCTCATTGAAATAGTAGTCAAAAATTACCACTATAGTTGATAAAAAGGCTTTAGATTTGACAGTAATAAGTAATATCATGAAGATGAACTAGATAGACACATTGGGCTTCTATTAAAGTAATAAATTGCATATGTGAATAGACAATGCTTGATGAAATGAAATGCTCTTGCAACTGTAGAATATTATTTTTCTCCTTTGTGCTATATATTTATAGCACTTAAGCAACCATGTCATTTACCCAGGTTTTCTTATATCAGTTGATCTTTTTTTCTTTGGTGTCATAGTCTGACATAATTATCAATAATACAGAAAGGTGGTATAGTTACTATTTTACCGAACAAATCCATTTTCTGAAATCCTGTGTGTGTGTGTGTGTGTGCACGCGCGCACACACAGATATCCCTAACAGATACCTTAATCACTTTCATTGGCATAGGAGTTAATTTAAAAGTCATTTTGCAAATAAGGTCCATCTAGACTCTCAAAATAAAAATTCTTATGATCATATTCCTAGATTGTGAGAATTTATTACATGTGAGGCACTTCTCTAAGCACTTTACATAACTTATACCCTTTTATGCTGAGAGTGGCTTTTATTATGATCCCATTATGTAGGTGAGGGAATTGAAACACTAAGAAATGGGCCCAGCCTTGCATAACAGTGCCCAGTGGCAGAGCTCAGGTCAGACCCCAGTGGTCTGGCTGTAGAGCCTGTGCCCTAACTATTTTATGAGACTGTCTCTCAGATGCATCCACTCTGCTTTCTTCCATATACAAACTATTGTGTGCAATCCTGTACATGATGATGATGGTTGTATTTTAATTTTTTTCTGAGTGTTATTTTTCATAAGAGTTTTCTTATATGACATGAATTAAGGATCATAAAGTTAGCTTTCAAAGTTGCATTCTTTGTATCAAAAATTTATCGTCCCACTGTTTACATTCTTGGATAGATGTTGCTATCGGAGCTCCACAAGAAGATGACTTGCGAGGCGCTATTTATATTTACAATGGCCGTGCAGATGGGATCTCGTCGACTTTCTCTCAGGTAAGATACTATTCTATTTCCAAAAGAAGCATTGGTGATGAGGAGCATCCTTTAAAATGTCCAGGGTTTATGTGGACTTATTTTTCTTCACTTAAATACTTAACACTTTATTTTACCATTTACTTATAATAGCAAATGATCTTCTTTTAATGAATTAATAATTCTTCAAATTCCCTTTTTCCATAAGTAAGAGTTGTAGTTCATTTCCACTCTAGCTTGTCTGTACCCATTAAAGATTTCTCTTTGTATTTCATTATTCTGAGGTAATCTCTATGTGATTCTAAAACATGCTCATTTGGATGAACTGTGTCTTGGCCTTGTGGCTAGAGCCCCATATTTCATGAAGATTGCATAGAGAGATCGATCATACATATGATACTCTGGGTTTCTTTTGAGTAGTAAGATGATAGCACTTTAATAAAGTCTCATGATCTTACTCTTACTTCACTTCTATATGTTGAAAACTCAGGGCATTTCAGTGTATAGAAAAAAATGACATTGATATGCAGAGAAAAGTTTTTCCCATGATAGTTACATGGAAATATTAGCTGGCACAGCTATTTTTAATTAGGCAAAAATAAGCAAATCGTTCTCTGTAATTGACATGAAAGAAATGTATTTGTCTAGTAAAAATACTAATTTTCTTAGTATGGATATCAGCTTAACATTTATGAATCTGTATATGAACATGAAATTAGATATATGGAAGGGAAAGTACATATCTGGCTAGGGTTGTTCTTGTTAAAAAGTCAGCTTTTATGAAAAGCCTGAATCATGGGCTCCACTAAGTGATTATAGACATCTTGTTTTCCACATTAATACTTATTTAGTTATTCATGTTGGGCGAGTAAATACAGAGCTTGAAGAGACCTAAGGAGGACAGGCATGGTGGTGTGCACCTGTAATCTCAACTACTTAGGAGGCTGACCTGGGAAGACTGTTTGAGCCCAGGAGTTCAAGGCCAGCCAAGGTGACCCCCATCTCTAAAAAGAGAGGGAGTCAGGACTATTTTAGCAAATCTGTACAACATAATTTTCCGTTTGCTCATAAAGTAAATTTTTTTAGCCACAAAATAGATGTCACCTGTTCATTTCGAGCTGGGGAATTTTGTCATCCTTAGAAGTATTTGATTTAACTAAATTGCAATTTTGTTAGTAAGTGTGCCAAGACCTGCCTGGGAAAGGTCGTTATTTAACTAAATCATTGCTTCTCTGGTATACTAGTATTCAAAAACAACTTCCACTCAACTTTACTATTTTTCAGAGAATTGAAGGACTTCAGATCAGCAAATCATTAAGCATGTTTGGACAGTCTATATCGGGACAAATTGATGCAGATAATAATGGATATGTAGGTGAGTATAAAGTTTATCATAATTTCTAAATCAAAATAAGCTCTATTATAGATACTGCTTTTAGTAAAGTACATAAAACTGGTATGAAAGACTTCATCTTGCTGATATTTTTTTCCTTCGTTTTTAAAGTTCTCTTGAATTCAAAGATGGGCCAAAAGTGATCAAGTAATTCCTCAGCTTAACAGTGTTAGTTACTCAATGTTATATTCTGTGTTTCTGAAAAAATGGAAACACTCATGAAAATCAAACATATGATGAGGAAAAGAAAGAATTTTTTTTTAATTTAGAAAGGAAATTTGAGTGAATGTTTCTAGTCCGAAATTGAATTTTGTTTGAGTAAACCTGTATTTATCATAAGTTTATGTTATATCATAATGGGATGAATGTTGTACATGAACAGATTCAGAGAAAAGTAGGAAAATATTTGCAATAAATACAGTCAAAAATCTTTAATATAAAAAAGTGGAATGAATATTAAAATATTAGCATATATTCTCCAATTAATTTTCTGTAAATAGTGTTTTTATGTAGCCAAAGACGATATGTAGTTAAGTATTTATGGCTGAAAAGTAATTCTCTTTGACTAATGATGATCATTAATCTGTGTTGTTTTTTATCCTACAGACGTAGCGGTTGGTTCTTTTCGGTCTGATTCTGCTGTATTGCTAAGGTAAGACTGATATATTTTACTGCTTAATGACAATTTGGTTTAATTGTAAATGATAGAAGGCATTGTTTAAAATCGGCAGTGATAGTGACCTCATGATGTTCTTTTGGTATTTGGAAGTTTAATTATTGAACTTGAGGGTATTTTTTTCACCTTACATAGACATAATTAAATCATCAAAGTCAATGTTTTAAGACATTTAAATAAAATTTCTTTACCTCTGTTAACAGAAATTAGAGTAATTAGTATGTACACACGTAATAAGGAAGACTCATGAAATTACTTGATGAATGTAAACTGACAAAACAAATACAGTTATCTTCTTAAGGAAAACTAATTCTACAATTAACATTGTTAATTTTATTTCCTTCTTAGGACAAGACCTGTAGTAATTGTCGAAGCTTCTTTAAGCCACCCCGAGTCAGTAAATAGAACAAAATTTGACTGTGTTGAAAATGGATGGCCTTCTGTGTGCATGGATCTAACACTTTGTTTCTCATATAAGGGCAAGGAAGTTCCAGGTTACATTGGTGAGCATGCCTCATAGAATTAATGCTTGATGGTGTGCAGTTCACTCATTAATCCCACATTCCTGTTTGTAGCCCTCACTGGTTTTCACCAATGGAGCTCTTCTTGAGAGCAGGGGAGAGAAACCACCTGATGCATACTTTTCCTCTTCATCTTCCAGATTCTTGCTTTGTTCTAACCAATGAGTTGGGCACATTAGAAGGCTGTAGTTGTTTAGAGATTATGGCAAGAAGCAAAGGACATAGTATCACTTGCCATATTATTTTAAGGAAAATCAACTGAGCTTAACCTGTAAAACCGCTTTCTTCATATTTTATCCTATTTCAGTAATTGAAGAAAGCCAGGCATGGTGGCTCATGCCTATAATCCCAGCACTAAATGAGGCTGAGGCTAGAGCCCAGGAGGTCCAGGCTACAGTGAGCTGTGATCACACCACTGCATTCCAGGCTGGGCAATGGAGAGATACCCTGTCTCAAAAAATTATAATCGTAAAAATAAATATTAAAAAACTGAAACTAGACCTGATTCTAATTTCTATAAATAATACACCTGTTAATAATTTACTGACTACAAGTTCCTGAGAACCATACCCATTTCCCTATGTATAGGCAACTCTCAATTATCTGCTGTGGAGAAAGTATCATTGACACAGCTCACCCAAAATTGTGGTGGGGAATCCCAAATCATGTATAAGTGATTTTATACATATTATATTTTTGCTAACAGATTAATGTTCCTAATTATGTTTATTTAGGCTAAATATAAGAATAGTGAAAGTAGCCTGTGGTAGGAGAAGAGCATACCTGGGATTAACATTTGGAGTTTAATAATTCATAAAGTTTATGATCCCCTATTAGGACCTGTCAAGAGTTTATCGTATTCATGACCCTGCAGGCTGCTTTCATCTAAACATCATGAAAGGCCCACACACTTATTAAGTCATACCATGGATATGTAATAGAGGTCTTAGTATGTATTAGCTTGTAATGAAAGGTACACAATGAGCCTGGTATCTCTAGATCAGACTCACTTTTAATAGTGCCCTGGAAAAGTCATGGCCAGAGCTACAGTAATAAGAGGGTGGGCAAGCCTTCATCTAGTTATTGATTGGAAAATGGCATTCTGAGAGCATGACATCAGAGTAAATTACACATTAACACAGACAAGCTGATGGATAATCCGAAAGACACACATTGAGTAGATGGGGCTCTTTCCCTTTATGTAAAACCAGTTTCCTCTACTAACAATTCCATTGTGACCAGATATTTTTAAAAATAGTTGAAGACAAACATATAAAACCCATAAATAATCATCACATTATTAGAGAAACATACCTTATAATTATCATAAAATGACTCCTGGTAGAAATAATTCACATTAATTACCTAAATGTTTAATAAATCCAGGACATTTTGACTCTGAGAGTGGATTATTTTCACCTCTTTTTCATTTACTCTTTTTCTGAACTCAGGGCAGTGAACTTGTAGACAGCTATTTTAGTTGCAGTGCTTTGTCTATGAGGTATTGAATCTCAGTTATAATTTTGAAATCCAGTTGGCTTGGACTTCATTATTTTCCAAATAAAAAGATGATTGAAGGATTTATTTGAAATGTATAAAGAGTAATATAGATTTTATATTTATGTTTCATTGAAGTAAGTGGGTAAAATTCTTCTAGAATTATAAGTCACTCCTAAAATAAAAATGAACATGTCAAGAATTATGTAAATTCTTTAAACTATCACTTATGAATTATTGCCTCTATATAATGAGTGACACCTCAGCAGACTATTAGATTCAGCTTGCATTGCAAAGAACCCATTTAGATTCATGAAATTGTTCATATTTTCTTGGTAAGATCTGGCTTGGAATTTTTTGTTTGCTTTTAAAATTTTTCTTTTTCTTTGTCGTTTTTTTTTTTTTTTTTTTTTTTTTTTTTTTTTTTTTTTTTTTTTTTTTTTTTTTTTTTTTTTTACTAATTTGGAGATCTTCATGAGCAGATAAGTATTTATTATGCCAGATTTGAAATAAACCCTGCCAAACCGCTAGAATATTTGAGAGAATTTTTTTTAATTGCACAAAATAACACTGGAAGGTCAAACCAGAAACCAATAAAACACAGAGGAAGAACAGATAATCAGGGCATTAAGACTGGAAAGAAGACATTTTTGAGAAAACCGTATTTATAGATTTGACTTAACCATGTATTCATGTATATAAAAAAGCAAGCCTTCAAATCAGAAACAAACAAATGAGTCTTAAATATGAAAAAATTAGTCATATATAAAATTAGTCATATAACTGCATAAGATAGAAAACACAGTACTATGTCTACACTTCCTTAGTCAATGTTCTGAGGACAAAAAGGACTCCAAAGGAATATGAAACTTTATGCAAGACTTTTATTACCAACAATTTTTATATTTTTTGAAATTTTTATTTATAGAAGGATTAAGCAAATAACTAAAGATTTTAATGTTAATAGAAACCTAGAGGTAGAGGAAAGTTTGTAAACCTTTATTTATAAAAGCAATTTTTAAAATTTGTATGTTAATTGTTCCCTCTTTTATATTTCAGGTTAGTTTTTAAAAAGCTGTTTAATAAAGAGAATTCCAGATACTAATATTTCCAGTAGTCTGTATAACTTTGACTATTATCACTTCAAAAATAACAAAGAAGCATTAGGTAATTAGATTAATGCAATTCTCTATATTTTTGCAGTTTTGTTTTATAATATGAGTTTGGATGTGAACAGAAAGGCAGAGTCTTCATCAAGATTCTATTTTTCTTCTAATGGAACTTCTGATGTGATCACAAGAAGCATACAGGTGTCCAACAGAGTAGCTAACTGTAGAACACATCAAGCATTTATGCGGGTAATGTAAACTATTTTTTATTAATATGTATGTGAACTTCAACATTGTCAACAGAGAGCAACTTATTGTATTGGTATCTTTTTATAAAATGTAGATAAAAGCAACTGTTACCTACCCCTAACTATGACCTGTTGTTCCAGTCAAAGTATTAGACAATCTCAACCCAAGTGATTAGAGTCGTCTTATTGTATTATCCTTTTTCACATTTATCACATTTGACCTCATCATTTGAAAACACTGCCTTTTCCTTTCTAAAATTTCAATTTGCCTATCCCTGTTTATCTACTTGCCTGAAATGTACATTTTCATAGCTCTGAGCCTCAGATCTATTTCATGGTACATTTTGAGGGGGTGGGTCAGTGGGGCAGGGAAGTTAGTTTGCTTTTCATATGACTCCAACAAAGCAGAATCCAACATGACTGCTTCTGGATTATGTCTTTGTCTCCGTGCCAGCTTTGTCAGTGATGTCAGTGGGAATTTGCACAGTTGTAACATGGTGGGGATCATCTGTGGGCCAGGACGACAGCTCTCATGATGGTTTGGGGTATGTCCTGCCAAAGCACAGCCGATTTCATGTTTCTTTTATTAAAACACTCATTCCCAAACTGATCGTCGCACTCCTCACATTGGTCAAATTTTATCATATGAAGCTGTGCCAGGTCTTTTTCATTAGGGAATGGTGTACTTCATCAGAAAATCTATTGTCACAAAAAGCCAAACTATTCCCAGGAGCCCTTTCTGGGATTTCAAATAGTTGCTTCAGCTTAGGGCTTAATTTTCCCTTAGATACTTATTCCAAGCAAATGCAAGCAAGCATCAAGACTCCAATATGCTATTAAATGCTAAAAGCAATAATCCCCATGCTATTTCCTCATTTCCCTTAACAGTTATTATTGTTGTACTAGAATAAAGCTATTAGATGGTTTGGAGCCAAAAGTATAGAATATTAATGTAACCATCATTTATGTGGTAGGAATTAAAGAGGTTCTTTTTTTCATGCTTCATAGATGTTGTTTTATTTACCTTAGTCAATTGTAGAGACAAATATTGAGACCATTTTAAAGGGAATAGAAAGGCCAACATTAGATATTCACAAAGAAAAACATTGTGTTAAATTTGTAAAAGTGATCTCGTTTATTCAGTTCTGTGTTTCTTGGCATCATTCCTATAAATAAGAGATCATCAAAATTGTATACCTTTTTTGGAATAAATTTGTAGCAGAAATAATTAACAGAGGTAAGTGTTTCTCTGCATATATATTTGTAGTATTACCATGGTTTTGATGGTAGCAATCAGCCATTGCCTTTGTACCATATTGAAAATGTTAAATGATAGCATTTACTACTGGGATTGTACATAGCAGAGACTTTTTAAAAAATGGTTGTTTCCTTCAGTATCTTTTTCTCTTCCTAAGTTACCTTGCTTGTGTTTGGAACACTTTTAAAACTCATAGATAGAAAGCCATAAACTTACTCCAACCTTCTCCTTTGTAACATACCCACACAGAAGACAAGAATCACAGTTGCAGCTACCCTGAACTTGAATTCTGTCAAGGATCCGTAGCTGTTACTTAGGAAGGTGTAGGAATGTAATGAGTGTACTTTCCTACCTCCACCAGGGTGGTAGCGCAAGGCATTAGGAAATGTTAATACTCAAAAGGTTCTACAGTCTGAAAGAATAGGACAGCAACTTGAATTCTTCCATCTTCCCAATAATACCACAGAAGATGAACAGCCGTCAGGATGCCTGGGTTGTTCCTGTGTTCCATAAAATGCATCCGGTACCAGGAGTGGGAGTGTTAACATATATGTCTAGTTTATCTCTGCACTCTTTACAATGAAATGAAGTGACACTTGTGAATTGTGTACTCGGGCCCACAACCCTCACTTGTCAGAGGACTCCCTGCCCGTCTGTTGGTTGGGGATGCTTTACTTACATAGTTGTCCCTACTGACCATTTACTCAACTAATTTGATATTTAGTGAGTACCTATAGTGTATCAAATTCTGTATATATCAGTGAATAAGACATAAAAAGATTACTACCCTCATGGAGCTTAGTCTACTGGGGCGAGACAAAAAATAATATGAAAATATACATTTTATAGTATTTTGGAAGATAAGGGTGACAAATGAAAAAGGAAGGCAAAGTACAGAAATGTGCAGTGCTGGAGAAGGAGTGGCATGTAAAATTGTAAATCAGATATTCAGAGTAGGCTTCATTCAGAAAGTGACATCTGAGCAAAGACTTGAAGGAAGTAAGGAAGTTGCCCACATAGATATCTAGGGCAGGTCATATGTTTAGGGTATTACAGCAACAACACCTGTTGGGCTTCTTAAAACACAAATTGCTGGCCCCCATCTAGAATCCCTTAGTAGGTCTGCAGTGAGGCCTGAGAATTTGCATTTCTGCCAAGTTTCCAGGGGACACATACTTTGAGAACCCCTGGTCTAGGAGAAGAGTATTCTAGCAACAAAAGCGGAGTCAAAATACCTAAGAATGTACCTGGTTATTTTAAAGGACAATGGGGGGAGGCAAGGATGGCTAGAAATGTAAGCAAAGGGAAGAATGGTGGGAGGAGAGATCACAGGGAACCTGTGGCTTTTTCTCTGAGAGAAAGGAGGATCTATAACAGCATTTTGACAGAAGTCACATGATCTAACACAGCAGCACTGTAGCTGCCGTGTTGTGAATAGAGCAGGAGATCAAGGGTCCACCCATGGAGAAGAGGCTACTGCAGTAACGTAGGTGAGAGATGTTTCCAACAAAACTGGTGGTGGTAGATGTGGTAAGAAGTAGTTGAAGTCAGTTTGCTGACATCCAGTTTACAATTTGTTGACAGACTGGATGTTGGGCATTTGAGAAAGAGAGGCTCTATGATGACTCCAGGATCTTTAGCCTGAGCCACTAAGAGAATGTAGTTTTCATTAACTGAGACAATATTGCAGGAGAACACCTTTTGAGTGGAAAATTCTAGAGTTCAGTTGTGGGTCTGCTTAGCTAGAGAGACCTATTTTAAATGTAAATATCAACTAAGCTTTTGTATATTCTTGAGTTGAGGAGAGGCAGAGAACAGGAAAGGTAACTTAATATATCTTTGGCATATGGATGGTATTTAAAGCTATATAAGATGGCTGAGATCAGAAGAGGGCCAGCGTCTGCACTCTGGGCCACTACATGAAGAGGTTGGCGAGAAGAGCCTGCAGAGGAGTTGAGAAGGACCAACCAGTAAGAAAGGAAGGAAGTCAACAGTGTGGTGTGTCCTGGAAATGAAGCAAATAAAGGAAAGGGAGAAAGCATGATGATGTTTTTTATACTGCAGCTTGATCGAGTAAGATGAGGGCTGAAAACTTACCATTGGATTTACAATGTGGGAGGCTGTTGGTGTTGGTGACAAAGGCATTTCAGACAAGTAGTAGAGGAAAGGAGAGGAATCAGAAATGATATAGGCTATTCTTTCACAAAGTTTTGGCCCAAAGGTGACCAAAGAAATGGAGTTTGGGGGTCAGTAGCTGAAGTGGAGTGAAGAGTTTTCTGGGTTTTTGTCTTTTAAGACGGGAGAAGCATTAGCATGTTTTTATGCTGATAAGCATGCTCCAGTAGAGTGAGAAGCTTGGGATACATGTGACAGGGGAGAAGAACTGGAACTAAATTCTTGAAGGCAAGAAGGGAAGGATTAAATGTACAAGCGAAAGGGTTGGTTCTAGATAGGCACGTGCCTGGTTCATCTGAGTATGTGCTTACAGATGCTGGGTAGATGTGGTGATGGAGACTATGGAAGTTCTCATCTGATTGCTTTAATATTCTCTGAACTAAAGCAAACTCATCAACTAGAGTAGGGATGGAGGAAGTGGTATTTGGAGTTTGGGAAGAAGATGTAAAATAGTTTTCTAGGAGAATGTGAGAATAACGAAATAATACAGGATGGTTGTCAGATGATGTTTCAAAAATCTAGATGGTGTTCAGGACCACTTGCACTCATAAAGTGAGTGTAACTTGTGTGGTGTGGTTTTTTTCCAGTCATGTTCAATCTTACAGGCAGGAGTGGATGAAGAGTTACAATTAACCAGGGTTTTGGTTTGGTCAAGAGAATAAATTGAAGCAGGCTAAGGAGGGGGCACACCAAGAGGGTAAGGGACCAGGAAAGAAATTTGCATTGGAGAGCCCAGTATGATCAGTTGTCGGAATTGACTATTAAAGGGATCAAGCTGCAAAGATTTCATAGATATTATAAAATATAAAAGCACTTGGAGACTTAGAGGTGAGGAAAAGGTTGAATTTTGCTTTTATTTTTGCTCACAATTCTTTGATTACCTCATGCAAATGAAAGTCTTTAAACTTACTTTTACTTGCAAAATCCATTACGTTCTTTGATGATAGGGAATTTGGCTATCAAAAAAATTCCAGCTCTTAAGTTTGTGTAAAACCTACGTTTAAAAAAAAAAATCATTCTTTTTTAATCACAGTTCTTTAGTTTTATGCTAGATCTTCTTGGTCTGGAAGTGGCGTTTTTAGTAATCTAATAAGGATCTATATTAAGCTGGCATGTAGATTTTTGTTCTGGTATGTTATTTTTCTGAGGCCATGTGTTCATTTATCTAGTTGGTAAGGGAATCAGTTTTCTTAAGTCTAATCAAAATTAAAATATTATCACACAGGATTACTTGATTGGTAATTTTTTTCCTCATAAGGAAACATCTTTTTTTTTTTTTTTTTGCTTTAAAAAAACTGTTGTATTTTAGTTGATTATAATTATGTCAAGCTTTAATTTTTGCCGTTAGAGCCATACAATTGTTAGATTTTGCTAAAGCAGAACGTAGAATTTAACTTTGAGAGTTCATAATGATGCTTCTGTAATAGAAGGGAAATGGTTAATTTCATTTATACCTTTTAGTGTTTTATCTATTGAAATCCTCTTCTATTAGACAACACATTGTACTCTATGAAAAGATGTTTCCCCATTCATGTAAGTATATGAAAATCTTTGGTTTTGCTTTATTT